AGTCGTAACCCAATCAACTGTCCTTGTTCGAAGATATCGAGTGCGCCGAGAGTAATTTTATTATATGCAAAATGGGGGAAAATGATCGGCGAAGGAAAGAATACGAACGTTGGCCTATGTAAACGACGAAACGAGTCTCCTTCATATTTTTGTCCCACTGCTCGCGAGCAAATACAGATGTTACCAACGACGCCGGTGGCATCATCGGCTCAGTTTAAGTAGCGTTTACTCGAGTATTCACGTAGGCGCGACGAGTGTGTTGTAAGAAGCGCAAAAATTTCGTTGCCGATAACAACACAGAAGGATGGCGATGATAACTCGAGGTAGTGGCGTTACTATTTACCGAGCGGCAATTTCTGCCAATTAACCCCTTTGTCCCCAATCGGGTTTAGCGGAATTAATAGTCACGAGACGGATTTATCACGAATAACGTTATTTCATTTTAATAATGTCGTAAACTCACGTTAAGAAATAAGGCCCTTACAAGGAATTTACAGGGGGGGGGGAGTCCTTTAATCCCTACTCTGGGAGAAAAAGACAGCAACCCATTTTGGGTCCCGCAATTAGTAATCGAATTATTCGGATTGTTCGTAACTACTCTGGGAAAAAATTTGACCGTTCTTTTTGCAGTTAAGCAACTTAACATTTCGGTTAGTGCCTCTTAAGTGAAAATTATCTTTGCGTTACTGAATATCGACAGAACTAATTGAGAGAATTGATTAGTATCACTTTAAAATCTTGGCTATAGATAGAATAGCTCATTGCGATTTTTAGTACAATTCGTAAAGGATTAGAGTCACGAATAATCCAAATACTTCGATTATTAAATGCGGGCCTCAAAATGGGTTGCTGTCTTTTTTTTCCCCCAGAGTACGGGAAATGAACGGGGAAATATCAGACGGTGGCGAGATCGAAAGATTGTGCACGCGATTTATGTCATAAGGAAGAGCACGGCGTCGAAGATGATCATTTCCACAGAAACAGGATGAAAAATATGGCTTTTAAACGATGATTGATTAGAAATAGTGTTATAACCGCCTTGCAATCCTGTACGTATTAAAATTTTTATTGTACGTTTAGCCTTGAATTTAGATGCGCAACACTTTTAATATAAATGGCTATAATAAATTACTTAGAAATCCGTTGCTGCGTGTGCAAACTGAAAATCGCAGTAAACTTTTATTTTAACACTTCTATAGATCTGCGCCGCTATACGTGTCTTATTTATAATCGAACCTGTTGACCTATTTATACTAAATAATCCGAGTACTAATCGGATCATCATTTTACGGGTATTTTAGAGAATACGCGTTAAAAAAAATCTCATTGACGCCTAACTTTCGCGGAGTATGACGGTGACTCACCTGAATTACCATAAGTAATTCCTTTATCTCACGATCGAGGCTGCATCTTTCCGCGTAACTGATAATAATGAAAGAAGACGTGACGCGTCGCGCGGTGAGAAATCAGCGCGTGATAATCGCGCGGCACGATTGGACGGCGGGAAAAAATCGCGATTTCTCGTTTTATTAGTCAGCTGACGGTACGGGCAAAAGAGTCGCGTCATCGCCGAGAGAGGATACATCGATGGGGAAAATGAGGTAGACGGTCATTACGTTGCTTGCGTAACCGTTTCCCCGTTTGAAAAAAAAAAGACCGATTTTGACGATCCGACCTTAAATCATTTCCTGCCTCGCGTCATTAACTTTGCTCGATAATCCACGTAAAACGCGCGACTCGGTACACGCGTTTCTTATCGTCGTAACGCCGTGATTACCGCAGTGCAAATCGCGGCAGAACCGATTACGATCGTAAAAATATTTATGAACCTGATCTCCGCGCGGCCGTAAATATCAAACGAGTATCGTATCATGTAAATTAAACTCGCGTGAAATAAATATAATATTTAGGAGGATTGCAAAGTTCGTCGTACGAGTGTGAATTAACGCGAGATAAAATATTAATTTTACATGACAATACATTAAACTCGCGTTAAATAAATATAATATCTGAGATTATGAGGTTCGTACGAAAAGTTGATAATAAAATATTAATTTTACATGGCAATACATTAAACTCGCGTAAAATAAATATAATATCCGAGATTATAAAGTTTGTACAAATGCGAATTGAAGGATAATTGAAATAAAATATGAGTGCACGAGACAATGAATGTTCGCGCGCGCCGAACTAGAAAAATTAGAAAAAAACCTAAGGAAAATAAGCACAGCGAATGGTTCATTTTATACAGTTACTGTTACACGATGATTTTCATGTCTCGCGTGAAATAAACATAATATTCAGGATTGCAAAGTTCGTCGTGCGAGTGCGAATTAAAGCGAGATAGACTATTAATTTTACACGACAATATATTAAACTCGCGTGAAATAAATGTAATATTTAGGATTGCAAAGTTCGCCGTGCGAGTGCGAATTAAAGCGAGATAAAATATTAATTTTACATGACAATACGTTAAACTCGCGTAAAATAAATATAATATCCGAGATTATAAAGTTTGTACAAATGTGAATTGAAGGATAATTGAAATAAAATATGAGTGCACGAGACAATGAATGTTCGCGCGCGCCGAACTAGAAAAATTAGAAAAAAACCTAAGGAAAATAAGCACAGCGAATGGTTCATTTTATACAGTTACTGTTACACGATGATTTTCATGTCTCGCGTGAAATAAACATAATATTCAGGATTGCAAAGTTCGTCGTGCGAGTGCGAATTAAAGCGAGATAGACTATTAATTTTACACGACAATATATTAAACTCGCGTGAAATAAATGTAATATTTAGGATTGCAAAGTTCGCCGTGCGAGTGCGAATTAAAGCGAGATAAAATATTAATTTTACATGACAATACGTTAAACTCGCGTAAAATAAATATAATATCCGAGATTATGAAGTTTGTACAAATGCGAATTGAAGGATAATTGAAATAAAATATGAGTGCACGAGACAATGAATGTTCGCGCGCGCGCGAACTAGAAAAGATTAGAAAAAAATTCTGAGGAAAATAAGCAGAGCGGACGGTTCGTTTTATGCAGTTACTGTTACACGATCGATCTTCATATCGCGAGTTTTGCCGAGGAGGGAAAGCAAGAGCAAATCTCCTTTGTGCCTTTCTATGTACGTCAAATTTCTATTCCGGCAACTTTTACTGCAACACATCGATCATCGAAATGGCTACAAGAACAGAGCGACGACAAGACCGTTCCGTTTCAGAAATAACTAATTACGACGCGATGACGTGTGTGCATTCAATAGCGCGCACCTGCTTGCATTTTATAAAAACCTTATAACGCGCCGCGAGGCTTGAACGTTGCACCACGTGAAAAACAATGCGTCTGTTTAACAAATAATTGTCAGAGCTCGGTGTACAATTCTAAAAACGTTCGAGATAAATACACAATAACGCGTAAAGTAAACGCGAGCAAACATTTCCCGACGTTCCGCGGGGAATAATTTGGGTCGCGAAATTTTGCTGGAGGGCAACGTCTCGTGTCAACCTAATCGCAATTTGCCTCGTGAACAGACAGGCAGGGATGCCTGGGCACTTCCGTAACGTATTCTACGAGAATACGTTGCACAATTATAGAATAAATCACAGAAATGTCGAGGCATTCCTGCCCGCGTACGCACCTACTGTTACACAGCTGCTGAGGTCGTTCGTCGATTACTCGATGGCGACGTATCGCTGCACGCGTCGCATGCGTGGCAGACACTTTCTAGCCTGGACGTAAACACGAGAGAGCCCGGCGGCGGCGGCGGCGGCGACCAATTCAACAGGTGGACCGGCGGCGCGACGCGGATGAATTCCACGCGAATGCCACGGATTCCTTCGGCACGGGCGCGTCTCCTCCCGGGACTTTCGCGGCCGAAGAAAACGCCGCTCGACCGACGCGCGTTCGCCTTTAACACGCGCCAAGCCACTTTTCTCTTTCTCTCTCTCTCTCTCTCTCTCTCTCTCCGATTCGCCTGAATTTACCCCGCACGTGTTCACCGGAGAGCAAAGCGAGACTAAAGCAACAGGTTGCGGTGCCCGCTTCATCTTCTTCCCCCGATTGTTTTTAGGTCGAAGACACGAGGAACGCATCTCTATGCTCTCCGTTGCGGGTCTTAGGGCTATCGCACACAAAGTTGCGCAGCTGCAAGTGCATGAAAACCGTTTAAACCAATAAACATCGAGCATTGCTTTAAACGGTTTTCATGCTACGCACGTGCAGCTGTGCAATTTTGTGTGCGACGGCCCTTAGGTGCTTTTTCTTAAACCGCCCGCGGCGCAATTCGCACTGTCTCCAACGCGCCGAGTTTCGACGTGAATTTGCATTCGTTCAAAGGTATCGTCCGCGATTTGCAAACGAGCTCAATGCCGCGCGTCGCTCGTGCGTCTCGAATTCCAATATATGCACCGTAGTTCCGCGCGTTTATTCTGTTAATAACAATCGCCTCCTCTCGAGAGAGCATCTCGAGTTCCACGAGGGGTTTTTTTTCCCATCGTACACGCGCCGTCGGGAAGAAAAGCAACTCGGTCAGCATCGCGCACACACGTTTTGCGACAATACACTTGTTTGCCGTTAGTAAAAACCAGCAAATCCCGAGATAAACTCAAGTCCAGCGACTCGTCACTCGAATCGTTAAGACTACACAGTGCGCGCTCGCGTTTTCTCACCGGTACACTTTTTCTCGCGCCGTTTCGCATTCGATCAGGCCGTGCATCGAGCTTCTCGAAATCGACCGTAATTTTCCGTTGGAAACGACAGGGCGTCGTGCAACGCGGACTAACCGAAATCCCCAGGCGGCCCGCCGTCGAGCTACACTTAATTTTTTTTATCGGTCCGCGCGAGATAATCAACTGTCGCTCGCGAATCTCGATTAAACGAACGGCAATCTATTCGGGCGCACTATCGGCTCAACTTTTGTCGAAATTGTTAAAAAACAAAGACACACAAACAAACGAGACGGGCGAAGAAGAAAGAAGCCTCGCTCACCTCGTCGATGGAGCAGTTGCTGCCGTCGGAGCGGTCCTCCACGCTGTTGGGATTCCTCTCCGGCGTCTTGATCACCTTGACGTTCGACATGCCGCCCTTGATGACGACGTTGTTCTCCCTGAAGTAATCGTCCGCCTCCTGGTCGACCACCAGCAGCTTGGTCTCGCTCGGGAACGCCTTGATCCGCTCGACCACCTGGTTGTGGGTCTCGTTCGCGATGTCGATCTCGTTAACCTCGATTATCCGGTCGCCCTGGCGCAGGCCGGCCGCCTGGCTCGGCGAGCCGTCGTCCACCTTGCCGATGAACTGGCCGTTCTTGCCCTTCTGCGCGTGCAAATTGAATCCGTAGCCGTTAAAGTCGTCCCACTTGACGATGTGGCAGAGCCGGGCGCACGGCACCTTATCGTCCTTGAAGGAGGACATCGCGTCACCGCGGTCGGTCTCACTCTCGACCGGCGAGGAAGGGGGCGAGGGGGGGGGGGACAACGAACGTGAATCCGCGCCGGGTCCGCCGCCGGGCAACACCACCGCACTGCACCGTGGAGAGCGCGAGACGCGAGCGAGTCGAGAGACGAAACGAGAAAGAATGGGCCCCGCGCGAGCACCGGAGAGAGAGACGCGCGCGCGAACACGCTCGCACGACGGTTAACGTATGTTTGCGCGGCGTACAACTGTTCGGCGGCGGCGGCGGCGATCGCGATCGCGCGGGCACGAGAAGCGCCGAAGGTCGCCGAAGTGTCGCGAGCGGGGCCGCTCAGCCTCGAGTCTCCGATGTCCGCCGACGAGCGTCGAACCGAGCCGATCGCGCACCGACGGAATTATCCATGATTTTCGATGAATCTTCGTCCCCCCCTGCCTCTACCGCCTTTTCGTTATCGCGTCCTCCGCGCAACCCAAGTCGGCGAACTGAATCTTCCTTCCTTCCTTCCCTCGACGGTTTTGGTCCTGCCGTAAAATTTGAATCGCGCGAGGCGCGTCGCGTCCCTTCCGACTCGCAACTTCGCCACGTAAGGTTCACTCGACACGCGCGATTCACACGTACTCCAGTCGGGGAAATTGGGCCTGTGGCGGTTCCTCGGACAGAAAGGAATGCAAGCGCCGACGCGCGGAATTACCGAAGCGCGAGACGCGGCACACGACGAGCGAAGGTGAACGCCGAGTCTCGACTGTCGCGCGGCAGACGCGCCAAGCTCCGCGGTTTAGGGGATTATCGATCGGTTTCGATGAATCTTCGTCCCCCTCGCTTCTCCCGTTCTCTCGCCACCAACCGCCTTTTCGTTGTCGCGTCCCTCGCGCAACCCAAGTCAGCGAACCGAATCTTTCTTCCTTCGACGTTTCAGTCTTGCCGCAAACTGACTTGCGCGTCGCGTCTCTTCCGACTTGCACCTCGCCACGTAAAGTTCACTTGAACACGCGCGACTCGCGTTTATTTCGATCGGAGATATTGGGCCTACGACAGGTTTCTTGCGAGCAGAATGCAAGCGCCGGCACGCGGAATTACCGAAGCGCGAGGCGGAACAACGAGCGAAGGTGAACGCCGAGTCTCGACTGTCGCCCGGCGTCGATTCCGCGCCGAGGGAATCGTCCATTATTTTCGATGAATCTACGTCCTCCTCGTTTCTCCCGTTCTCTCGCCTCCACCCGCCTTTTCGTTGTCGCGTCCCTCGCGCAACCCAAGCCGGCGAACAACGTAGTTAAAGTTACAAAAAAGTTGAAATCTCAACTGTCGGACGTGAGAAACGATCCACTTGAGACGAGGTTGAACGACGAGGGCGCCACGCTTATTGTTAGTTCCGTAAAAACCTCTGGCCTGCCAAAAGCTCAATACTCTACCTTGCAAAGGAAGATCTAGCAGCGATAGGGAAAAGATAAAACAGGAGAGACGCGCCAGGAAGAAGCAGGAAAATGTCTATGCAAGCGGCTTTTGCTAAAAATCCTAGCCAGGTTCACGTCAAGAACCTTCATCGCGGTCTTGGGACTTGGAGGATCTCGGGCGAGATCGCGGCTGCGCTCCCCGTCCGACCAGACGCCTCTCCATCCACCGGCGGCCGCTCCAAGTAGTGCCGCGCGGCTGCCTTGCCTGCCGCTTTTATACCCCAGGCAGCCCCAGGCTCCCCACCGCCAGCGCTCCAGCCAATGAGGGCAGAGTGGCTCACTGCACGCCGCTTTTATACCCCAGGCTCCCCACCGCCGGCGCTCCAGCCAATGAGTGCGGCGCGGTTCCCTCGCGTGCCGCATATATACCCGGGCTCCCCACCGCCGGCGCTCCAGCCAATGACTGCGGCGCGCCGCTGCGCCGAACGTCGATTGGTCGGCGCTAGGTGACGGCTAAGAGTATAAATAGCGGCGCGCACGAGTTCCGTCGTTCAGACGGCAGGAGCAGCGCGGACGAGCAGGGCGGCAGGGCCACAGATGGGAACTTGGAAGCTCCGCTAGGCAGCCGGGCGAGTGGAGGGGGCAGGACAGGTTTGGCGCTCGACGCTCGGCCGGCGTCAAGCAGTTGGAAGAAGATAGCGCCAGGCGCTTCCTCCCCCCTGTCTCCTTCACGCGACTGACTGCCTGACAGAGCTAAGGCCGCTTTCGGAGAGATTCTATTTAGCGCTATGAGCGTGCTCTGTTCTTGTTACTTGCAAAAGTTTAACAAGGACGGAGTACGCTCAGCGCTAAATAGCGTCTCTCCGAACGCGGTCTAAGTTTGTATCTATGCGTAAGACTCGGTCTTACGGTTTTACCTCGATACAGCGTTAGCTTCTTTCTTTTTGGCGGCAAGGTTCACTGAATTCCCGGCCGCGACAGTATGGACTACGAAATAGAACTTGTGCTTTGAGGTATGGTTTCAAAAACTCGTAAAATTCTTCGAAATGCCACCTTGTCCCACGGTCACATGATTTTCAGGATAGATTGAAAAACGTTTGCCGTCGCTGGATCCCCTTAAAACTGAAAGATCGATAGCTGCAGGATTTGCAAAGTTCTCGATCGCGCGTAAACTTGATCTCGCTTCGTCCATTCGAGAGACACGCGAATCCGTCGCGCCGCGATCAATAATACCGAATCTTTATCCCGCTATAATTTTTATGTCTTGACGCAATTAATAATTGCGAGTTCTCACTATATAATAATTTCGAGTTTATATGACTTTAATTACGAATTTTCGTGATGTCTAAACGGAATTAACAGAATTCCTGTCAGCTACGCGACACCGACCAACCACCACCGTGGCAGAACGCGGAATAGCTGCCTGTTTACCTATAGTGAAAATCAATAGAACCACTACGCCGTTATTTCTCATTATTCAACCGTCGAAATTTTTTACTCGGCTGTTTACATCGAGCCGCGCCGCGCGCCAAGGTCCGGAGGACGTTCCGTGCTTCGCACTATTATTCGGGCAGTCGGCACGTACGCATCGCCACGAGGCGATGTACGCGATTATTTCTCGCGCAATTAAGGCTGATGGCAGAGAACGATCCGTAAACGCTTAAGACTGTCTTATCGTTAGTCGTAGACGTAAAGAACGTGCTTCTAGCATCGTGGACACAGACTTTAAGATAGGACGAAGAGAAACTTAAGTCGTACACAATAGACTTTCTTAGGCTTATTCTACAATGGACGCAAACCGCAAGACGCTAAGCCGCAACGCGAGAAATCGCCCACAGACGGCCCTGTTTAAAATATTAAATAGAATATCGTCAGATGACGTTGGATCGCATGCAGTTTCAATGTAAATCACTAAGATTCTTCTCGATAACGGGTGACAGGACGCCGAAGCAAATGCCACGGGACAATGTGCGCGATCGAGCTCTTCGATTCCGCAGGACCGCGAGACGTTCTCTTCGTTTCTCGGAGCGTGTACTTGACGCGAGATACGGAAGCTGACCGCCGTCTACCGTTCGCCCTCGCTTTTCCTTGGACGTAAATGGAGTGGACGAGAGTCGCGAGTGTGTCGAATGTGAAAATTTTCCGAGTGAGTTTATTTGAAATAAATACATCGAAGTGATATTCAACTCGCGTCACGAGCATCAATTCTGTATCTTATAATATAGTGAAAATGCTAAAAGTAAGCGGCTTTGTCTCTTTCTAAGGGGACAGTTGGACAGAATCGACCCTGTGGACTCGACTCGTAGCACCAGGAATCGCCGACGTGTTGGTTCGCTAGAGGATCGTTGTGGAGCGCCGTGGACACGGAGCGCACCGATCTCCCGCATCGACGGGCCGTCGCAACGCACTCGACGCAAAATCGCAGCAAGTTTAACATTGTTTATCGAGTTTAGGAATTGCGTAGACTCGTAGACTCGACACTCGCACCACCGAGACTTAGCGTAAGGCTGATGGCAGAGAACAATCCGTAAACGCTTAAGACTGTTTCAGTCGTAGACGTAGGGCAAGGCAGCGAGAAACGTAAGTCGTATACAATAGCCTTTCACGACTTACGCTTCTCTCTGCCTTGCCCTACGTCTACGACTGAGACAGTCTTAAGCGTTTGTTCTCTGCCATCAGCCTAAGTCTCGCGAGAAAATCTCCGGCGGGAATGTTCAGCGCCGTGTCGTCGCGCGCCGCGGGTAACCGAGTTCAGTTTTAATTCGTATCTTCTCGAAACAAGTGCAGAATTTTCACGCGTGACGCGCGGCGAGAGAAATCGCCCCGTCGAACGCCCGCATTCAGTTCTATTTCTCGCGACACGTGTGAAGTTCGCCCCGCGTATCTTCGAGTCCTTCCCGCCGGAACGTTCCCCCCATTTCGCGCGACGCCGCCGAGCGGCTCGTTTCCCGTGTGCTATCATGTCTCTCTCTCTCTTTCTCTCTCTTGTTCTCGTTGCAATAAAGTTGATTAACGCCGGGGAGTGCCGTGTCGCGCGTTACTTCGGCAATTAGTGCGCGCGATCGTAATTAGCTCCTAATGATATCCGATAAAGGCGGAGCAATCTTGTACAAAGATGAGAATGCTTAAGTCATTTTCTAACGAGACTATCGCCAGATAGTCATAAAATAAACATAAATTGTGTCATCGGACAAGAGATATTATGCAATTGTATTCAATGAATTGTGTGTTCGACGAATGTACTGATTTGGCATTTTTTTCCGCGAAACGTGGACAAATGATGGTCGCGTGACGATCGTAATGCGTTATGCAATCGCATCGGCGTAATTTCTTCGATTTAAGCGCGTACTATTGCACCACGATAAAAGAGTTGTAAAATCGCGAAACCGCGATAAAGTGACGCGACGATAAAAGTGGGCGTACCACCACGCGAAGGAAATTCTTTCGTGCGAGGCGCAATTAGACGTCAAAGAGTTAAGCCATCGACACACGATACTATTTTTCCTAATTGACTTCTTGCGAGCGCCAATAAAGTTGCAGAGTCTTAAGCCAAAGGCTTACGAAAGCCAGTCAGGATTTAGCCTTAAGTCACCTGATCTAAAACTCTGCACACCTTCAGAAATTTCTGTTACTGAGACAAAAAATATTGTTGACGCATTTATATTTCTCGCAACCTCATTTAGTATAAAAATAAGACAATCTCAAAATAAAATCAATAATTCTTATTCTCCTCTATCGAATTAGAAAAGATTAATTTACTATATTGAGACAAGAGTAACTTGTATAAATGTAAGTTTATATATTCTTGAGTTTAGAATAAATTGTTCCTCCATCTTGCAACGCACCAAGTTAGCACGACGATATTCGACAAAAGACGATACATACTATCATTTTATTCTAGATTTTAGAAGTTTTCATTTAAAATTAAAATATTCCTTTCTCAGATTATACAGGGTGTACTAAAACCACCGGAGGTCCTCTTAATGACAGATTCTTTAGAACATTTCCAGACGAAAATCCTAATACAAAAGTGTCGAGGCTATAATAGTTTTTAAATTAGAAGCGATTTTTTTCCACAAATGATAGGACTGAAATTTCGCGCGCTCAGGCACGGCGAAATGACAAGTGATATTGTAAATTTATACAATAAACATAACATCATGAAAAGAGCGATATTCATAGGATCACTTATATCACTTGTCATTTCGCCGTGCCTGAGCGCGCGAAATTTCAGCCCTGTCACACTCTAAATAATAAGTGTTTGAAATTCAAACACTTTCGTTGTCGCCGTTTTCAAGATGTTTATTAGTGTTTGAAATTTCAAACACCACCAAATACCAAACATTTATAAATGTTTGAAATTTCAAACACTAATAAACATCTTGAAAACGGCGACAACGAAAGTGTTTCAATTTCAAACACTTATTATTTAGAGTGTGGTGAAAATGTGTCGTGCTGATGAGCAGATCTACCACAAATTGGCAATCCGGCACTACGCGACACGCACGCGGGC